GGTGGGTGAATCTGTTGCCTCTGTTATTTTAATGATGGTTTTAAAGGTCTTAGTATAATTAATTGTTGCTGCCATTGTATAATTTTATGAATTAATCATGTCTGTCTATTTTTACTTTAATGGTTGTCTTATTTGGTTTAATACATTGTGCCCCTTCCCATTTTATTTTATTGCCTTATTATATTAATTGTATATTTGTATTAATTATTGTATTTAAGATTTTATTGTTATTATTGGTCTTATTGTAATTGCAGATTTTATTGTATTGTGAAGATGTGCATGCAGGCCATGAAATGCCACCTTGAAAATGTTCTTTCATGTTCCAACTCAGGGCAGGTACATCTGGTGCTTGTAATGGAGGCGATGGATCTTTCAGACAAATCCTTAGAGAACATCTAAGCCTTTCATTAGGGTAGAATTACTATAATGTTTCCTATAGAATTACCAGAGATAAACAGAATTGCTATTATGTTACTATTAGACATTTCCATTTCCTTGCTGGAAATATTCAGCTAATGGAGCAATTGTAAGAACATCTACACAGTTCAAGGCTATTTGTTTTTCAAAAACTCCGTATAAAGTGATTTTTAAAAAATAATTTTTCAAATTAGTAATATATTTTTTAATTTATGTTCTATTTCGTAAATACTTAAATATTGTGTGTGTGTTTGGAAAAGCACCTTCCTAACAATATAAACATCTAAACACTACAAAAATACATAAATAGGGACAAAAAATGGTACTTCGGAGGTAATAATTCAGCTGTGCTAAGAGACCCCTCCCCTTTAAAAGGCTGAAAGAGTAGCATTAAGACCCTCTACAAAGGCTGAGTTTGCATTCCTCTTCTGTCCTATTTTTTTAAAAGGCAAACTTTCTGTAAGCTAAGGAAAGACAAAAGAACCCCAGGAAAATCAGAGAAGGACAAATGATGAGGTGACATCCCTGAGAGCACGTCCTATAAATACTGCCTTGGCAATTCCACACTTAAATGTCTAATGATGACGTATCCCCCGTCCTTGCGCTTCTACATCTCAATCGTTTACTAGCTCACTGACAGGGCAAGCCTACGCTCATTCAGAGCATTCCCAGGGATTCTCTGAGAATTCCTTCTCCCTGCTGGGCTTCTACCAGCAGCACAAATGTGAGGGCAGAGCAGCGTTCACCACTGCTCCCACCCCCACCTATTTTTCTCCTTCACAAAGCACTGTTTTCTAACTCACCCCCCCATTCACTCCTGGACTGCTCCAAATATTATTTCCCTGTGGTGGAGAGCTGGGAGGGGTTTGAATACTTTTTATATTCCGGAGCTTTCTTCCTTCTACCTTTGCTAATCTGCCCATTTCTCCCGTCTCAAGAATGACAATAGAAGAGCCCTGGGCAGGGCAGGGCAGGGAGATCCAAAACTGCCTGGAGCTCTGTCTCCATCACTGGAGGGGGAGACCGAGTGAATTATGGCTTCTGGGGCAAAGGATCCATGGGACTGCAGTTTCACATTTTTTAAAAACCTTTTAGAGGGATTTGTACAAGCTTGCACATGCACGAATGTGCGTGAGTGCTAATGTGTATTGGTGCAAATGCAAATTCACATGAATGTGCATTAGTGCAAATGGAATGAACTTCTTGTACATCCCTAAACATTCCAATTCTGTCAATGAACAAGCAGTAGAAAGAAAAATGCTTCACAATCCACAAACACACAAAGGATGTGTTTAACAAAATCTATATATCCTTACGGCTTTGAGATCATAAGAAGAAGATGATCATAATCGTTTTACAACTGCAAAGGAAGGAATGCATAAAAGTGTGCGAAGAAGACACAAAACACCTATCCTGTGCCCTATTGTGGTAACAACAGCACTGGCATCGTAGTAACACAGTGAATCTGGAAATGCACAGTCTAACTTCCCTCATTTTCTGTGACTGCTTCTGCAGAGAAAGTGTTCCTTTGATTTTTCCTTCTTTTTTATGAGAGAGTAACAGTGCACATGAATAGAACAACCACATTTTTCTCTTACGCATCCCTATTGAATGCTTCACTTCCTCACTTGGAAAGATGATTGATGCACATTGATTTCTCAAAATTTCATAAGGGCAGGTGTGAAAAGGAGAAAGATGCTGAATACAGCCATTTGTGTAGATACATAGTATTGCCACAATGTTTAATAACACAGCACCCCACTTTCACAGATAACAGTTTAAAGAATGCCTACAAGGACTTTAGGCTACTCATGTTTCAGAAACTTAGTGTAATATATACATGTGTCAGATATGGGATAACTTTTGTTAGCCATTGTTAAAGTCTACATTAATCGCTTTAAATGGGGAAAATTATAATCTAGGAGTAAGGTGTTTAGCTGGAAATTGAGGGTAATTGCATTTGATTACACAACATGCAGAGTTGTAGGATTTCATGTTTCTGAAGTGGACTTCTTGAAGCTGGTGACTACTGCCCTTGGTGATACAGCAGCATAATAGTCCCATTTCAAAAAAGAGCCACTTAACACCCGGCTTTCTTTTCAGCTGCATCATGGTGGAAGAGGAAACCTGGATGTAGCAATCTCCACACACATCCTGACAATCTGTTGGACATCTAACCAGTATAGTATTCCCACAATATTAACAAGGATCAATAGGAGATAATCGCCTTGCACTCTGAAAACTTGGAGTCAGAGGATTTCTTTTTCTAATGTGGTAAGAATGCTTCTCAGCTGACAGTTTTGTTGTTTGAGATAATTACCAATAGCCTCTTTATTGTTTGCTTATTAAAGGAAGGGAAATTAGCAGGGCAAATGAGGTGTTTAGTGGAGTTCACCATGACCTGCCTTCTTCCAGCTGTAAGTGGTGGTTGCAGTACTCCGCTGGTTTTATATGAAAGCATAAGGTTGTGAAGCTCTTCCAGGGCTGGCCATATGTTGGACCACAGTCCCATCATTCCTGACATCAGTCTTGCTAGTTGAGGCTGAAAGGAGCTAGCATCCAACAACTTTTGGAAGGACACGTTCTCTTCCCCTGCCACAGAAATCACTTTTTGGTACTTCTGATGTCCAAATTATCCATCATATAAATAAAATAGTATGCAAAGGAAACGCAAAAATAACGTGATCAAAATATTTTCACAGGGTTGAAGGAACGATCAGTGGGAATGAGGCAGTGTGTATCTGTCTACGATGACCTAATGTTCTTTGTGTCTCTGCCATGAATGATATCCTGTCTGTGAATTTAGAAGCAGAAAGAAGTCCACACCTGCCACTGATCTCCATTTTCTTTAGTTTATTGATGGAAAGCCAATTGCAAAGAACTTTGGCGTTCCCTGGATGATCACCATTATGGGCATGTAGGTCATAAAGCTGCTTGGCTACGAACTCATCAGGCCATTTCATTTGTTGTTTTCATTAGCCAGGCAACCATTCCCCAAGAGACACAAGGGACCCTTTCGGTGTGTTTATGGAATCTCTGTGATGTAATTGTCAAAATCCTAGTTGCTATGTATGGCAATTATGCCAGACAGATTAGATGACATAGAACAGATGGGCTGCTTGCCTGCTCATTTCTAGCCTTCATATTTAATTTGTTTCCTTTCCTTTCTTTTGCTTTACATATTTAGCGCTGTGCAGTAAAACTGCTCTACCCAAATTAGTGTAACTGCAATTCTTAGATTTCAATACAAATTATTAGAGGGTTAAAAATTGAAGAATTATTTCTTTCTATTGGAGGTTTCTTTGAAGCTAAAGAAACTGCTTCAGCATTCTGAGAATGCATTTCCATCCAAGATGCTTTTATATTGCTCTGGATGCTCATATAAGCTACCAAAAGCTGGACATAGAAAGGCTTCACAGCCTGTGACTGCAATGGCCTAGCCGGCTCTTCCTCTTACAACAAGAACTGTTTGACCATCTCTGAGATAAGGACTTGGGCTCTGCAACATTTCTACTGTATATAATCTCTGTGTGCCACTTTATCTCCAAAGAAGAATCTATACTCTATATGGGAATATAGTTAAAGAGGTGGATGGTCTCCACTACAAAGCTTAAAATTATGAGATGTGGCATGAATGGACATGGAATCTGTGCTCCCTGTTTTGCATATGTCGGTAACCAGTTAATGTTCCATGCACCAAGTGATGGACACCCTTAAAAGAAACTTGGGATTAAATGTGAACCTCTTTATGAAAGCAAGGCCAACTTTTGGCATTTTGAAAGTTGTGCACTATTTATAATATGGCATAAATAATATTGACAGATAACCGTTAAAAGAAGGGACCCAGCTGAAGATGACTGTTTTCCAAGTTTTAGCCCTTACTTGTAAATTACTGATTACTGATGTCCCAGCACTGTAGGAGCAGCACCCATAGCTCAGTGTGTTTTCTGATGTTTATTTTATAACTGCACCTAAATCACAATTAACTGTCCAGCACTGGGCTGCTGGACCAGATAAAATATAACTCTTGCCATCAGCACAGTCCATTTTCCAGGCCAATATAAACTAAAGGGACATATTTAGAAGATACAAGGGCTTCGGTATACATGGGGAAGGAGTCTTTCTCTTCTGCTAGAATAAAACGTGTCCCACATAAAAGCATCTATGGTACATACTCTATATGTCTTTATTAGATTACTGGCAGGTCACTTAAAAGAAGAGCCATGATTCCTCAACAGCCCTTTCTCAGTGTTCCAGAGCTTCAGAGACAGAAGAGCTACAAAAACGCTCTTCCCAACAGAAATGCATTTCTGAAAATCAGTTCCCCACAGCCACCATTGCAAGAGTTTTCATCTTCATCTTTCATAGATATACATTCTGATGTCTGTTTTATCATTTGGCACCTTCCCAGGAACACTGTGCTTCACTTGCTGGAGCTCTCAGGCGAGAGCTATATTGATTCTCCTGGATGGTGTCAGAGCGGCACTTCGCTTGCTGCTGAAGGTTGTCCTGGGCTGCCCTTTTGGGAGTCCTGCTGCAGAGCATGTGTCCCTCCCTCTGTTTCTGCTGCAGCAGGTTCACCCCTAGGAGTTACATTCCTCGCAGTGGCAGGACAGAATATAGCGGTAGGTGGCGGTAAGCCTCATGCCGCCGGAGCAGCGCAGCCGCATGGCCTTCAGCTTGGATGTCTGTGGCCGGCAGCAGTGGCACGTGGATCGGAAGGGCTGTTTCAGGACCGTGCTGAAGGACACCATTGGCTCAGAGCGTGACGTCTGAGTGCAGCGTCCCTCACAGCGAGCCAGCAGCACCATCTGAAAGGAAAGGGATGACAGTCAGGGTCATCGCTGGAAGGGAAGGAAGGCAGAGAGAGAGTCCCGGGGGGTTCAGGTCTGGAGTGTGGAAAGGCAGATCCCATGTTGGTATAATTAGCAAAGGAATTTTTTTAAAAACTGCCACATTTAAACATATCTGTGACTCAGAATACTTTTCACAGTTCTGGTCACTCTATCTCAAAAACGAAATTGTAGAGTTGGGAAAGGTGCCGAATAGAGTCGCTGCAGCGATCAGAGAGCTAGAACAACTCCTGTATGAGAGTAAGTCATACCATTTCTGGGTTTTTAGCTTAGAAAAGGCAAATGATTGGAGGATATCACACAGACCAACAAAATTATAAACAGTGTAGAGGAAGACATATTTCTCCTGCTGTCATTATATTAGAACCCGGCAGCACATTCAAAACAGTGAGAGGCACTTCGTACAGCTTATAGCAAAGAATGGAATTTGTTACTGCAGGTTCTATACTGATGGGTGGCATTCTGGATGGCTTTAAAAGGGGATTAGAGAAATTCATGCAGGAAAAGCTTCTAGTCCTGATGGTTATATTGTTCCCAGTATGAAAGTCAGAAAGGCACTAGCTGCTGGGGAACATGGGAAGAAATGTGCTGTTTATTTTTTATTATACTCCTATCCTGCCAATTTTCCTGCAAGGAACCCAAGGGAATTTATGTACTCCTCTTCCTCCTCTTCATTTGATCCTCACAACAACCCTGTGAAGTAGGTTTGACTGAGAGTCAGTAACTGTCTTAGAGTCACCCCGTGGGAGCATAGATTAGAATGTGGACCTCCCAAGCCCTAGTCCAACACTAACAGCACACCACACCGTTGCGTTCATGTCCAGCTGGCAGGTTGGCCACTATGCGAACAAAATGCTGGACCAGATGGATTTTGGTCTGAATGAGCATAGCTGTTCAGATGTTTGTGCATTCTGAAGGAGGAAAAGGAATCAGGAAATAGTCCCAGAACAGAGTCCTAGAACAGAGGACTCACACTCTGGCATACATTTAGTACTCTGCAAGTTGCATTCTTTCTACATTATATAATCATATTTGCTGCCACTTTTTTAGTCTGCTTCAATTATAAGTGAGGAGGGGCCATGTTTTGGAGGAAATTAGAGCCTCTATATTTGACCAACAGGGAAGCTGCAAAAACAGTTGTGTGATGTAGCACATTTGGCTATTTCAGAGTGCTTTCCATGTGGGCTCCCTGCACAGGTATTATTATTCTCCCGCAGCCTTACTACCCTTGAAAAACACTATCTTCCTTTTTGTGCTTGATGTTCCAATTTTCTAGAGGCAGAAACAGGAAACAGTGGCTCTAGGGAAAGAAATTAAAAGGGAGAAGAGCAAGATAGCATTTCAGCACAATGAGTGCAGAGAAGGCTAAGCTGCTCTCCCATCAGTATTTGACAGAACTGGAGCGGCCACCAGTGATCTCATGCAAAGTCAACTGATGGACCAAAACCACCCCAGGGAGAGCATTGCTCCAGGGGTTTCCAGAGGGGTAACCTAACCAGTCTGTTGCAGCAAAACCGACAGAGATTTGTGGTACCTTAAAAGTGACAGGTCTATTCTGGCACAGTCTTTCAGGGACTAGAGTCCACTTGCATCATGCTTCTGATGAAGTGGACTTCAGCCCCAGAAAGTAATGGGAAGTAGGTTTATATTCATGGTGCCTATTTGCCAACTGCAAGGAGGTTCACCACATGGTCTGTTAGGACCCAGAAGGCTCTTTAGGATTAAAATTAATCCAGAGTAGTTTTAACAAAGCAGGGTTTTATTGTACTCACAAACACCTTGAAGTCTTGCATATTTGGGTAATACCTGCAGGTATTACTTAGAGTCCATTGAAGTCAGCATGGCGGGACAAGAGCCAACCACATAAATCTTCCCTCAAGGAGGGTCATGGAAGAGAGAGAGGTCTTAACTCCAAGATAAGATTCAATGAAGAAGAAGTAGGTTAGCCAACTTAGTTAAGTTTGCAGGTACCCATTAACCCACTCCCACCTCCTTGTGATTCTATGCATGCAACGTTACCCAACATTTAGGCCACAATACATTTGCCAGATTTATGGGACCACAAGACTCTGCTCTTTCAGCTGGTAAGGAAAATGTCATCTGTTGATGAAATGAGAAGATCAGAATCGATGACTCAATCAGTGTAGAACTCTGACATTAGTAAGAATCAAGTCGTTGCTAGAAGATTATTTGGGTCTAGTCTCCTTGTGCATTCTGGAGTTAGCTTTTGCAGGGAAAATTGGAGCAAGGAGAAAATGGTCAGCAACAGCAGCAGGTGTTGGAACTACAGTTGATGGGTCGCTTGTGCTCCCCCTGATCACCATCTAATAGGATGCAGCACAGAACTCAACAGCTGCTATTAAACCATACTGATTTTTTCCAAGTACAACATTTCAAACAAAAGCGCTGTTTTGGCATTTTCTCATGTTTTTAAATGAAAATGAAAGGTTGGCCAAAAATCACTTAAAACCATATGTAAACCACATTTTACTGCATTTGGCTCAAATGCAAACTAGGGCCGAAGCAGTCATGAATGGAGGATGTGTGTGGATGTGGGAAAGCCTCATAGGCATCTTTTCACTGGATTTTACTATCAAAGTGTATAAGAACATAGGAAGTTGCCTGTGCTGGAAGTCAGATCTTCAGTAGCTGCTTTCTGGGGATACAGAAGATAATATTTTCAGACTCTACCTGGAGATGCCAGGGACTGAACTTGAGAACTTCTGCATTCAAAACTTGTGTTCCAGTGTTGATTTATGGTTCCTTTTCACCCCACCTCACCCTATACGTGATTGTTTCTCAAGAGTCCCTCTTTAAGTAGCATGGGTGTGCAAAGTGATCATCACATCCTTTTCGTACCCCATGTAAGGATTTTTAAAAAGTGAGATCAATATGGGATACTTCCAATTAAAAAAATGGAGACTATTTTTAGAATAGGAAAATGCTTGGATTAAAAACAATACATGGGCAGCTAATACCTTCCAAAAGTGGTATCACTGCAAACTAGATGTATCCCAACTCACCTGCCCAATCACTAAGATTTCCCTGTACAGTTTTCAAAATCACCATCACTGCTTACTGCATAAGCCAGCCAAGGAATCCCCAGTATTATCTCCGAAGTTTGGCTGGAGATGGCACTGGAGAGATGCCTTCTGGGGTAATCCCTGGATGGGATGGAGCATGCAGGCAAAGTTCCAGCTCTGGACAAATCCCAAGAACCTGCACAGGCTGGATTGGGGTACTTTATAGATCAGATTATGCCCGCATGCTGGAGATTCTTCACCCCCAATTTAAGTAGACCTGAAAAGATCATCTTAGTTAATGTAAGCAATTATGACCCTGCTAAGGAAATTAAAGAAATGAGAACTTAAGGCTGAACCCATATACACACTTACCAGGGAGTTAAGTACCACTGAATCGTGTGAGACTTATTTCCAGGCAAACATATAGAGGTTTTCAATGTAAAGGAGCTATTTATTTATGAAGGTGTTTGTTACAGACAGGTTAAAGCTACGGTATTTAAAACTAAATGGTGTTGTTCAGGTGATATGTTTCTTACACCAGGGTGGGCAAAAGGTGATCTTCAGCCCCCAGAAGCTAGAGACCAGGGTGCATCCCAGCCACTGTAAGCTATCCATCACAATGGGTGATAAAGAGGTCCCTTGCTAAAGATCTCCTCATTGCAGTGGAAGAAAATTCTACCGCCATCTGGAAGAGTGTGGCTAAGTTTCCTATTTTAACCACGTGCATTCATTGTTCACTTGCAGTAGATGTCAAATTACAACTAGCGAACACATGAGCATTTTACACAGATTGTATTGCATTACATTTAGAAATGTACACTTCCAGTGTGTTTTGCCATTGCCGTTTCAAATCCATCTCTGTGACGATAATGACTCTGGGCCAATTCACACAATCTATTTTGTACGCTACACAAGCAGTGCAAGGCCTTCTTCCAAGAATGGGCCTAGGCAAAGAAACCCAATCTTTGAAGGTCAACATCATGTCAGCAGAAATGTCTGCAACTGTAGTGGCTGGAAAAACTGACACCACTCTCAAGGGTAGTGCAGCTGCCTGAATCTGTAACTGGCCAATTCCTGTGTTTCTTTATGAATCAAAAGCAATATTCTATGAACCAACCAGGAGTGGTATTTTCCTCAGGCAGTTCTTTCAGACAGCTGATTCTAGACAAGCTCATAATTATTCTGCGCCCACAACTGCCAGAGTCAGAATCCAAAGAAAAGTGCAACTAGTTCCATACACTGAGCAGGGCTTTGGGCCTGGGCTTCCTGAATAGCAACCCCTCGTGCCTTTTACAACATTGCTTTTGAAGCAGAAGAGAATCCAAGCTGTTTGCGATGATACAGCATGTGGGTCTATACTTCAGAAGGTAGAGGAAACTCGCTGAAATCCCACTGAGCAAAGCCGTTCTTGCAGCCCAGTCTTTTGTAGAAGGCACCCTTTTAACATTTCACTTAAAATACAGTTTGTCCCAGCATGGCCTGCTGGGGTTGATAGGAGCTGTAGTTCAACACTTCAGAGGCCCCCAGACTGATTTAGGATCTGTCTGAAATCCTCTCTAAGGGGTATTACCAAGCCAGCTCTGAGGGATCTGCTACAGGATCAGAGGAAATTACTGACACGAGCCTCATGGAGGTACACAACCGTGACAACTCAGAAACTGCCCCCACAACACCTCTGAAGGATTCGCTGCAAGATCAAGTGCTTTGACAGCAACCTAATGTTGGAAAGAATGTATGACACTGTGACAGTTGTGAACTAGTCCTTGATCTGGTTTTATAAAACAACATGGTCTCCGCTTTGCTTTGCTTTGCATTGCAGAGTTGGCACAAAGGCGCCAAACAATGAGAGGTTTTTATGGTGCTTACCTTTGAACTGCACTTATACAACGGGTGGCTGATGGAATCGACATAATGATGCCTCATGCAGCGGCCTGGGTCTGACTCTACCATGAAGCTACTGTCCGTTTTGCTGTCTGAGTCTCCCATTATTGCCAGTAGGGACAGCATGGAAATCGAAACGGCCAGTACATGGTTTCCCATCGTTGGAGAGCTTCTCAGAAAGAACAGTAGAGGGAGGCAGAGGATCAGAAGCACGCTATACAGTCTGTCCAGTAAGAAGAAAGGTCTGTCCGAAGTCTCTGGGCGGTCATTGCTGATTTTGGGTTAGACATTTGCTGGTATTATAATCCATCAAAATATCTCCTGCATGGCTGGAATAAATAAATTGTAAAAATGATCTTGAACAACAATAAAAACAATAAGAACAATTGCCTCTAGTGGAAAATAGGCAAAAGTAATAATAAGGCTGCTAGCTAGGAAATACTTACAGAGCAAACCTTGTCCCCACAGTAGGTGAAGAACAACAGAAGAAAGGTTTTTATGCAATAAAATCTCCACTGGGATCACTCCATGTGAATTCTATAACAATGCACCTCTTAACCCTGAAGAGGCTGCACATTCATCAGAGCTGCTAAAAGGTGTGTTCAGGGGGTTATGCTAAGCTATTACTACCAAAAGATGGTTTGGGGGCTCAGAGAAGCAGTGGAGATGAATTCACTAGGCTCATCCCTTTCCCTAGAGATCTGCCTAGCTATTACTAAGCAGCAACAGCCCCGGCTAGATTCCTGCTTTTATGGGCTGTCACCCCATGAACAGCAGTGCCCACTGAACTGTGCTGAGACATATGGAACTGATGTGAATATAATTGCACAGATTTATCCTTTTTAATTATTCTGTTTCTCAGCCAAAAGGTCTCCTTGAGCAGCTTACTATCAGTCAGTAAACGAGGCAGCCACTTCCCACAGTCTAAAAAAAAAAAAAAAAAGACGCAAGGACAAGGGAATGAGGAGGGAAGAGAAAAACAAGACTCCCAGCACGATTGGTGTAATGACAGATGGACAGATAAATCCGCAAATATATGAGCAACAGAGGTAGAGAGCTACAACATTCTATTTATTTCTTTGTTTCATTTGAATTCACAAGGGAGAGGGCATCGGGTAAAAGAACCCTGATATAAAATGAAATCTGAAGGAGGGTTGATTATTAATACATTCTATTATCAAATGAAGCACACACTATAGGTTAAATTTCTTGCTTCTCAGAAAAGGGTCAGCCACTGCTGATTTCTCTATGCTGGTTTGTTCAACTATATGCAACCAACCTGAAAACAATCAAGCCGCAAACCCAGCCCAAGTCGCTTCCACAAATAGACCTAAGCACAAACCTGGACATATCCACTCAGAAGTAAGTTCCACTGAGTTCAGTCACTTTGTCCAACAGGATAAGGACAAGTAACAAAGCTCCCTGCAGTTCCTGGCCATGGCAACCATTTCAGTCCCACCACTAAACGTACCAAGTCCATTTCCCGCTGCCTCCTCTGCTCCGGCTCTTACCTGTTTCCCCCACTTTCCTGGCTGTCACCCATGTCAGCAGTTTGAATGGTTTTATCTTTTTCTGATTTTCTCTTTGAGGCCTGAGCACTTTAGCCATGGGAAAACAACCAATTTTGAGTTCACCAGTGGCCCGCCATCAAACTTGGGCCCACCACCTCTTCTTGCAGGCATGCCATTGTTTCTAAGGCCCGCATGGTAACGCACGGATTTCTGCAAGTTTCTCCACACTGGGGTCACAGTGGCAGCAGAGCTGGGTAGAGCATTCTATGGGGAGGCTGTCTGGGGTAACAGAGGCACAGAGCAGCATAGTGGATGGATGGATAAAATAGTGGGCACTGGTACAGGAAATCCCTTTTCATCCTTAACCCAAAACAAGGCAGGATGGCCCGTGAAAGAGAGGACACTTCGAACAGAGGATTGTCCTCCATAAAAAAGGATGACACTGGGCAAGACTCAAATGCTCCTGTTCATTCGAAAGTTCCAAGGCAAGACCAGGGATTTTAATGTGGTCCTGACAAAAGTTTCCTTCCTTTGGGTTGCACAGAATGTCTGAGGGCTGTTCCTATTATGCAACACATATTTTAAAGACCGGTTGTTTCGAACGGCTGCTTTAAAATGTACAAGCAGCGTCTCTCACCGGTCTGAAACCCTTCTTTCACTGTTTCCTTGTGTAAAATGGTGCACACTGGAGTGGGGAGCAGGGGGAGCGGACCAACTTCAGGTATAAACTGATGGGATTTGAGCTAGCGGTAACTAACCAAGAAAGTGAACCTGGGGTTGTGATGGACAGCTTGCTGTGAAAAAGGTGAATTCTGTGATAGGTGTCATTCAGAACGGAATGGAAAATAAGACTGCCAGTGTGAATACTCCTTTTACACAACTCTGTGGGACAGCCGCGCTTGGAATGCTGTGTAGAGTTCTGGTCAACACATCTAAAAGGGAGATTGTAGAGTTGGAAAAGAGGCAGAACAGGATAGGCCAAATGCTTTGGGTGCTGGAGAAACTCCCCTGTGAGGAACAGCTGCAACAGCTGGGATTGCTTAGCTTAGATAAAAGGCAAATGAGAGGAGACAGGATGGAGAGGGACCAAATTGGGGATGCATGGTGTGGAGAAAGTGGACAGGCAGGCACTTTGTCCCTTCTCTCTTAATACTAGAGCCTGGGGTCATTGCATCAGCTGGGTGGTGGGAGATTCAGGACAGATAAAAAGAAGCACTTCCTCACACAGTGCGTCCTTAAACTGGAACTCTCACTCACAGATGCAGTAGTAGCCACCATTTGGGCAGCTCTCAAGGGGGAGTGGGCGCATTTATAACACTACTGGTGGCTACCAGTCCTGCTGCTATATGCTCGCTCCATCATCAGAAGCAGTGTGCTTTGGTGCACCAGTCGCTGGGGCACATGGGCAAGAGGCTACTGTTGCACTCTCATTCTGTCTGTATATTTCCTGTGGGAACAGGAACAGAAAGCTGGACTAGATGGGCCTTGGTCTGATCCAGCAAAGCTCTTCTTCGTATGCCCTTGCTGTCTCTCTATACTACCCTGGGGCAGCCATGAGTCCTACCTTTCCAAGGTCAGTTCTCCACCTGAAGTCATCCTCTGCTTCAGGAATGGGCAACTCTTTGGGCCACGGAGGCTATTTGTGGGGCTGGATGACATGCACGTGTGTGTGCACGCAACGTTTTCCTCCAAACAACCTACATTGTAACTCCGCTCTCTGCCTGCCAAAATCTAGGAATTGGATTTTGACATGGCTGAGATCTGGGCTGTCTAGAGACTGCTGGAGGGTGAGAGATGTGCAAACCCCTCCCACCCCCCAGTGATTTCCACCAAGATTCCTCGTGTCGTCACCTGGATGGTGGGGCACGGTAGGTGTGGTTTTCCTGCCTTGGGAAGATACGTGAAGATCTGCAGAGCATGGCAGTGTCCCCACATGTGTCCTACTTGAAGGAATATCCAGTTCAGCTCTGGTTGCAGAACCAGACAAAGGGATGGAGAATAGACCCTAGAAGTGGCCCACCCACCAGGCACGTGGGTCACTTTCTCAACCTCTTCACCACTCTGATGAGATGTCTTTTATTTCTCTTTAAATTCTCATCGTGGTTTCCATACTTATATTGCACATATATTCCATGTGTAAATTATACATAAATATTATGTAAAAGATGCACTTATGATGCAAAATAATGTTTGGTTTTGTCATGTTTTTCAGACGACCTCACACAAACTCATCTCACTGAACTTAGCGAGCCTGTGACCCACCTCCCACCTGTTTTCAAGGAGATGCCCTTGACCCAACTTGCATCTGTTGGGGTCAAGATTCAGCAAAGCAACATGCACCCCACCCTCCCCCATCGCTTCTGTCCTGATCACAGCTTGGTGGGGTAGGAGAGGAATCCTACAGAATGGTAGGAAAGCTGCTCTAGTTTCTGGGTATGCAGATCATGGGAAAAGACAAAACTCATATGTAACATTGTCAGGCAACTGGAGTACTTTTTTGTCTGCCTGGATCTGGCAAAGAAGCCACCTAAGCCACCCTGAGTAACACTTTTGTTAGAAAGGTAGGGCACAAGTCAAATAAATAAATACCACTCCTATCAAAATAGTGGACATATGGCTAAAATAAATCAAAAACTGTGTAATAGTTCTTGGCAGGTGAATTGCTTAAGGAAAATGAACAACACAACTTCTTCATTGCTTACAATGCTGTTCAGCCATATCTAAAGCACACATTTCCTTTGGAAAGTTTTTCAGCTGGATTGATTGATTTTGGTGCTCATACCAAGAAGTCTGCCAATCTGGTGCTAGATTTAGTTCTAATAATAGGCATCCAGTTCAAGAACTGGATTGCTGTGCAAACAACCAACAGACACACATAACAGAGAGAGAGAGAGAGAGAGTGTGTACTGGATACCTATAAGGCTGTGGACCTTCCTCCAGTCACTCCTCAATAGCCAGAGGGATGACACCAACTTTCCGTGGCCTTCCTTGTCTTTGCCATGATATCAATAGAGAGCCATAGACAAAACAGCCTCTGTCCCCCATGATAAAGTATGAAGTTATATAAATAGTGTGTGCAGCCCTTTTTCCCTTCTCCTCCTACTGAGCATGCAAGGGGGAGCTCGAAAACCAGTAAATATTTTTTGTAAATGAGGGACATACAGAGGTGCAAATCCCCGTGATCCCCCACATGGCCAGACACTCTGACTCTGGCCATGCACCTTTCCCTCCAGCTCCACCCACCACTGAAGAACACCCCCAAGGACTTCTCTGCCTCCTCACTGAAAGAGGTTGCGCACCCTGTTCAGTGCAAAGATGCAAGAGCAGGAATGGCTTTGGCTGATCCACGGCCCTGTGTCCCAGTGAACTTTCTCTGGGAAGATGACTTTGGCATCCTGCACAGGTGTAACTGGCAGGCAGACCGAGTGAGGCCACTGACAGAAAAGACCTGGCTGGTGCCATTGGCCGATTCAGCTTCTCCTTCATGTCCACCATTGTATCTCTGCAGGGACACTTCCTTGTGTTGAAGTCAAGCCACACATAAAATACAAGAAGGCAAGGTACGCCCGCATCAGAAACAACCCCTCTGAGCCAAAATCTATTTGTTCAGTGCAGCATGTGACTGGAGAGCTAGCTTCAAATTTATTA